GCTCTAATTTGATTCTTGGGAAATTCTACTTACACAGCCATTCTAATTCATTACATCCCAAAATTTTCAAAAACATTTATTACAAATTTAACCTTAATTAAAATTACTAAAAAAAACCCCAATCTTTAACCACTACAAACCCTAATTTCTGATTTCACCCACCATCTTCTGTATCACTTCACCCGATCACCACTAAAGCTGCTTGTTGCAGCCCACCTACACTGTCGTCGCTTGTCGCTGCCGCTCCAGGTCCAACAACTTCAACAGCCATTGTCAGTGCCTTTAACTACCAAATCGCAACCATTTTTACCACTAAAAACCCTCATCTCCTTCTTGTGACCTCCTTTCGACCGCCATGACCAACCATCGCCACCACTCTTCCCCGTGAACAGCCACACTTTGCCCCTAACATTCTGAAACCCAACATTTCCAACAACTGCCCCTCTCTATCTGTCGCATTTCCGCCAAGGTCAAGGTTCTGATTTCATTAATGGCAAGTTTGAAGGCCGGTTGATTAGAAAATCCACAGAGCACGAAGCTAATCACGACATGGTCGATCAGAGGTGTGGTTCTTGAAGTCTTTGCTCTGGGCATGTCTTTGACTTTCCCTCTAGGAAAATAGAAGATGAAGAAGAAGAAAAACAGGCGTGTTCGTGTTTACATGGATGGTTGTTTTGATATAATGCACTATGGTCACTACAACACTCTCTGTCAAGCTCGAGCCCTCGACAACCAGCTTGTCGTCGGTGCGATTAGAGGTTGTAGGGTGATGGTCAGAGGTGGAGATGGAAATGAAAGTAAAGGTAGAAGAGTTACACTACGTTTGGGAACTTAGGAGAGAAAAGAAAAAAAATGAAATGAAATGATTACTTAAGTTATAAAAGAAAAAAAGAAAAGAAATGACATGATTGTGATTTCTCTCCTTCTTGTTTTTATAAGTAAGAAATAAAAGAAAAGAAATGATTGTGATTTCTCTCTTTCTTGTTTGATTAGATTTCATAAAAGAAAAGAAAAGAAAAGAAAAGAAAAGAAACTATTTTATGTCATATTACCAAAATAACATTTTTATATTTTGTTTGATTTCTTTTATTTTTATTGGGACAAAATTGGTATAATAAAAATATAAGAATCTGTTAGTTTCTTTTCTCTCCCAATCTCTCCACTTTTGGAAAGATTGAAAATGAAGGTTATAAGAGAAATGAGTTTCTCTCTGTTTCTCCCAATTTCTTTCCACTTAAGTTATCCAAACTAGTAAAAGAAATACATATCTCTCTATTTCTTTTCTTTTCTCTCCAAATCACTCAATTCAAACATATTGTTAAGGTTTGAAGGTTGTGGTTGCTAGAGGTGGTAGCTGAAGTGTGGTAAAGTTAGGGTTTGTTAGGTTGGGGTGTAAGGATGAAGGTTGTGATGGATATTATAATGTTTGTAATAAGAGAATTGGATTTTTTGTATTGTGTAATGAGAAATTGAATGTTAGGAGAATTTTTTGTTGTGTAAGTAGTATTTCTCGTAATTCTTTAGTTGATATTTGCTTAAAATTACATTTTGTCCCTTCCAATTGCAAATCAAGTTAATTAACTGTTTTAATTGATGCTAGAAATATATTTCAATTAACAATTTTAGTATTTTTATTGTTATATAAAAAAGTAGTTTAGAATTTTATTTTTTTGTTAATTTTGTTAAATAAAAAATATAAATAAAGGGATATTTATAATTTTAAAATTACAAAAAACAATTTATATTTTAAACAAATCTCTTGAAGTGTATTTGTAATTGACTTTATTTGGTTTGGACTTGGAGAATCTGCCTTGATAACAACCTATCACAATTATAAATTTTTCTTTTTCTCTTTTAGAAAACTAGTGGTAACCCATGCTATGTATGATATGTGAAAAAATGAAGGAAATTTTTTTTAAGGTCCCTGATATTAAAATTTTATAAGATAAAAGTCATATAATATTTTCATAGTAGTTGGGGGTTCTTCAACATTTTCACAGAAACAATTTAACTCAGAGAAATTTCAGCCTCGACATAAAGAAATTTCAAAACACAAAGGGTTTCCCTTAATCATTAATTTGAAATTTCTTTAGTTTGCTAATAATTTTCTCTGTGTTTTGACCAATAGGGTTTCCCTTAATCATTAACTCCCACTCACTATCTTAAAAAGTCTTTTTCTCTCTCTATCCATTTGCTGAGAAGCCATGGCCCTTTTTCCTTTTCCAATCCCCCTTTCCAAAACCCCCATTTTCTTCTTGAAATTATCACTCTACTCTTCTCCCTCACCAAAACCCTAATTCGAGTTATGTTAGGGATCTCAAATATTCTACCAAACCTTTCACATAGATGTGGGACCCACATACATGTGGATTTGTGTGAGTCCCACCTCATGTGAGAGATTTGGTAGAATATTTGGTAGAATGTTTGGAATACATAGCAGTTCTCCCATAATTCACATCCACAGAATTTTCTCTCTCATTTTTACTCTCAAAATTATGTTCTGGATACATATTTTTCTCCTTCTATAAATCGTAATTTTGGCCATTAAAATGGCGGTTGTGACTGGAGATCATTACCTCGAATCTCTGGTGAAGTTTGTAAAGAAGCAATCGGGTCCCTTAATTGAAGGAACCCTAGTTCTGAAGCTAAACTCGTCGGACTCCACTATATGCAATCTCAACTTGAAGCGCTCAACGAGCTTGAGGAACTACTCACTGAAGCTCTGGTTGATTATCTCTGCGCTTACGTCTACGTGGAAGAGTTAAACGGTAGGGAGAGAGTTAAGTGGATTAGTGCAAAGAAATAGGTAAGGGACCTTAAGTTACAAAAAAATATATATTGTAGACCTTTCTTACAACCAAAAGTTGGAGAATGATGTTAGACTAATTTTTTCTAAAATTCATAATATATTTTTAAACAAAATAAGAGAAATTTCAGCCTCGACATAAAGAAATTTCAAAACACAAAGGGTTTCCCTTAATCATTAATTTGAAATTTCTTTAGTTTGCTAATAATTTTCTCTGTGTTTTGACCAATAGGGTTTCCCTTAATCATTAACTCCCACTCACTATCTTAAAAAGTCTTTTTCTCTCTCTATCCATTTGCTGAGAAGCCATGGCCCTTTTTCCTTTTCCAATCCCCCTTTCCAAAACCCCCATTTTCTTCTTGAAATTATCACTCTACTCTTCTCCCTCACCAAAACCCTAATTCGAGTTATGTTAGGGATCTCAAATATTCTACCAAACCTTTCACATAGATGTGGGACCCACATACATGTGGATTTGTGTGAGTCCCACCTCATGTGAGAGATTTGGTAGAATATTTGGTAGAATGTTTAGAATACATAGCAGTTCTCCCATAATTCACATCCACAGAATTTTCTCTCTCATTTTTACTCTCAAAATTATGTTCTGGATACATATTTTTCTCCTTCTATAAATCGTAATTTTGGCCATTAAAATGGCGGTTGTGACTGGAGATCATTACCTCGAATCTCTGGTGAAGTTTGTAAAGAAGCAATCGGGTCCCTTAATTGAAGGAACCCTAGTTCTGAAGCTAAACTCGTCGGACTCCACTATATGCAATCTCAACTTGAAGCGCTCAACGAGCTCGAGGAACTACTCACTGAAGCTCTGGTTGATTATCTCCGTGCTTACGTCTACGTGGAAGAGTTAAACGGTAGAGAGAGAGTTAAGTGGATTAGTGCAAAGAAATAGGTAAGGGACCTTAAGTTACAAAAAAAATATATTGTAGACCTCTCTTACAATCAAAAGTTGGAGAAGGATGTTAGACTAATTTTTCCTAAAATTCATAATATATTTTTAAACAAAATAATATAAATAGTTAAATTTTTGTATGCAAATTATGAAAACTGTGAATATTGAAATTTACAATTTAAGTTTCACAAATTTATCACAATTTATTTATTAATTTTTAATTTGTCACAAATTCAATCATGTAACTTTCAACCCCCTTGCTATAATTGCAAACTTAGATGAGTTCAACCCAAGTAACTTGAGTCAAGTTTAAATTTTTTTACAAATTGGGCAACCTAGTTTTAATTAAGTTAGAAACTATGCAGAAATTAAAAAATTCGAATTAAATTTGAATAGACTTGGGCTGAGATACTAAATAACTTGAGCAACTAAAACAAAATTGTATACATGTATAAAATTATTTGCTGATTATTTTTTTAAATAATAAATAAAATTAATTAAAATTTTAATATTAATGAACAAAAGATATTAATAAACAAAAGCAAATACACCTTTTAGAAAAAGATCATCGAATAAGTTGATATTAAAAAAATTATATTAATGGCACAAAATAATTTAAATATGATTTTTCAGAAATTATTTTTAATTTAAAAATTACAATAAAATATTAAATAGAATAAAAATAAATTTCTTACAAAATAAAAGTATTTGAATAAAAAAAAGCATAAGAAGAAAATTTAATATAATATTCTCATTTAATCTGAAAATAATTCTAGATGAACAGTTAATCATCACCTATAATTCTCTTTTTTTCTTAATAAAAAAAAGGTTTAACAAATCATCACTTTTAATAAAACAAAAATAACGTTTCTTTCTTCTTTGTTTTAGCTAAAGTTACATTTTAGCAATTTGAGCCAAATTTTTTTATATTTTTTATTTTAATTTATTTAATTGACAATTGAGATTAAAAACAAAAAAAAAAAAAAAAAAACAAAACCCACCATATTTGACAAGTGCTAAAAAATTCTAGATGAATTATAAATTATCACATGTAACCCTCATTTTTTTATTATAAAAAAAATAAATTTCACCAAAATTCACTTTTAGCAACAAAAAAAAAAATGTTTATTTCTATTTTTCTATTTTAGCAAAAAGTCACTTCTTAACTATTTAAGCCATATATATATATATATATATATATTTAATTTGCTTAATTAAAGATTCAACTAAAAAAAAATTAACAGAATCCACCATGTTTGGAAAGTGCTAAAAAAATCATTCATTTTCTTAATTTTTTTTTTTGTCTTTTATTAAAAAAAATGAATAGAGTAACTACATACATTAGTTAAAGTTCAGCCAATTTAACAGAAGTGCATATTCAACAAGATTCAAGTTGTTCTGGGGGTAATTGGCAACTTTTTTTTTGTTTTTGTTTTTGTTTTTTTTCATGATCAGCAATTGGCAACATTTGCTCAAGCAATACCACAATAGAACTTCTACCCAGTGATCTAGAATCGCGCATATAATCTTGCAAGTCCTCATCGCAACCTATTAAAATCAACTCACCATCCTCATCTTCATACTTGACATAATAAGTTCTAGCCTTTAAGTTTAGCCTTTTAGCCACTTCTTGCTGCAACTGTATGAATCTTGATGACAAAGACAAACGAAATTTCATTGTAATACCTTCTCCATATTTTTCTTTTATAGTCACATTATTCGCATCTTGCATTGTTTTATCATATGACTCGATGTGAACAGCAGTAGCCGAGGATTGAGTAGAAGGCAGATGATCAGAATTAACACATGGGGCAGATTCGTCGAGTTGAGAGCAACCAACCTTGTTTATCTTGCGAGGTGGCCACCTCTCTATACCACAAGTCCTACATACATGCTTCAATGTAGATTTGCTAACTGCAAAAGGAAAAATCAAAATAAGAGAACTTACTTTCTATTTGTTTTTGCAAAAAGCTCAACATATATTCTCTACCAGAAAAGTCCATCTAAGTTGAAATAACTACCGACATCACAAGTAACATTACATTTTAATTTAAGAAAGTGCGAGCATACCTTTGAGGCTTTTTGCAGCATTCTCAAGGCTCAATTCTGAATTTTGTAGGATATCCTCTACTGGAATTTTAATTTTAACTCCGATATTGTTGGCATCTCTTTTTGACGCCTTTACTGTGCCTCCAGATTTGTTGCATTTTCCTTTTGACACTTTTACTGTGCTTTTCTCTTGCGTACAAGTAATAGCAAAGTTGTTATGTTCTGTATCGCCAACATTCCTTCCAGTATTTATGGTATTCCCTAATTGTTGATATGATGAATCCACTTGCATTACCTCAACTTCACTTTGTGAGAATTCCAGCTGAGGCAAAGATATAGTAGTTTGGGGGATTCAAACAGGATCAAGTTTTTCACCATTTTGAATACTAATTTCTTTAATATGTAATTCTTTCCCAAGTTCTTTTCTAGAAGCAACCCTAAGAGTACGAAAATCTTTCCTCATTGTTTCCAATATTTTCTTCAATAAGGCATGTGGGTTTTCATTGGTTTCATTGCTCACTGAAAAAAAGAACTCTAGCACGTAATCATCATTTTCAGTGGAACTGCTCTGCAAGCATATCGCGAAGCAACCACCTAATCCATTCTTTCGTCCATAGTGTGCCAAGGGGTACTCAGTTAGGCTAAGTTGAGTTACATCCCTGCATTTAAGTGAAAGAAAGAATTGATATACTAAAAACCACCATAGCCATGTCCATCTTCACCATAGTCATCTTTGTAGTAATAACAACGTACACCAAGGACACCACCATCAACCAGAGGCCTACATGGCCAACCTACCTTGCATGGGACCCATGCCTGAGCTAAAGGTAAATCATAAACTTCACATACAACTTTCAACACATTCTCGATTTCATCCAAGGCAACTGTACGAGCTTCATTTTGAGCCTCATCCTAGTTTGAAAGTATTGTCATATCCAGGTATTAGTCAAAAAATATTCCTCACCATATTAATTTAAGAAAAATAAAAAACCAAATTTGACATTGCATTATAGTTTGCTGCTTATTAATTCCATGTCCTCGTGATCAAATCCAATTGAACATTTTAGACCTTTCTTCTGGAGGGGAATGGAAAGTTGCAACTGAGAAATCTCATAAACTTTGAAATGTAGAATAATATTTTGCAAATAAAAGGAAGCATATAAAAAACTCTATAATGGAAAAAATTCAGTCCATCGTAATATCTATTATCATGTTTGGTTCAATAAAAAGGAAAGAATATACATTGGAAATTTGGAAATGAAATCACCATATTCTCCAATATAGGAGAATGGTCATTTTATTGGAAAGCCAAAGATTACTAGCCATTCTATTCAAGCCTACAATCATTCCTACCAACAAAACACTACCTTAGTGTAGTAACGTCATTCCAATTCGGGAATCAAACTAGGAATTGCACTCTCATTTAGAACACATCCAAACAACGAAATGAAAGAGACTTGACATAAGATCTATGAAGCACGGATACTCTGAAATAGCCCCCGTACGCGTATCAGATACGTATCGGACATGGATACGCACCCGATACGGCTGGATACGTATCAGATACGGGAAATGAAGTATCTGATTTTTTTTTTTTAATTTTTGAATTTCGGATACGGCTAGGATACGGTAAGGATACATTCAAGATACAGTATGGATACGGCGGGGCAAAAAAATAATTTAAAAACTTTAAGAAGGGGTCAAATTGTAAAATATGAAAAAAATATGAAATAAAACACAAAAAAGAGGAGGAGGAGGAGAGATCGAACCCGCAGCTAGGTCGAAGGAATTCGAACAGCAGCTAGGTTGAAGGAGGAGGACAGTTCGAACAGCAGCTAGGTCGTCCCTCTCTCTCGAACAGGAGCTCGACGATTGTCTTTCAGGTTCGTCCCTCTCTCTCTCCATTTCGCTCCCTCTGTCTGCCTCTCACAACACTCGATCTCACGATCTCTTTCTCTCCCTCTCCCTCTCGCTCGAGCTCGATTTGTCTGTCTGGTTGGCTGGAGATCTCGACTCGATCTCATCTCCCCCCCTCTCGACTTGATCTTATCTGTTTTGTTGCCTATTTATTTTTTTTAATTTGTTGTATTGTATACACTCTGCGATTTACTTAAATAAATAAAACACTGATCAAAAAAAAAAATCTGATAAAACAAATAAATAAATAAACTTATTAATAAATAAATAAATAAAATAAGGTAAAAAAACTTATTAGTAAATAAATAAATAAATAAACTTATTAAAAATAAAATTTGTCAACTTATAAAATTATAAACTTTGTAAACTTATTAATAAATCAAATAAGGTAAAAAAAACTTATTAATAAATACATAAATAAACTTATTGATTAATAAATAAACTTTGTAAATTTTTTCCCCCTTAATTTGGGATTGAATTGCATTATGGTTGTTATGGGTGATGCTATATTGTTAAAATTGTTGAAATTTAATTGAATTGATGAATTTTTTGTTATGGATGATGCATTATGGTTGTTATGGGTGATGCTACATTAATGTTTTGTTTTATTTGTTTACCATAAATTTTAAGAAATGAGTTTAGGTACATTACCATAAAATTGTTGAAGGTTTATTTTTGTGTATGCTACATTACTAAAAATTGTGAAAAAATATATTTTTTATGAACGTATTCCCACCGTATCCGTATTCTACTTTTTCGAATTTTGCCGTATTGCCGTATCCGTATCGTATCGTACCCGTATCCCATATCCATATCCGTGCTTCCTTGCATAAGATTCTTATTATGCGGCATTGAACTGTTCCTGCCATCCAAACATGATGTTTTAAAACACTTACAATCTAGAAAAATGAGAATGTGGTTTACTCTTTTTTGTGTTAACCCCTCCGAGCATAGTTAACAAACACATGACAAATTTAACAGAGTGTTTAACACTTGCGTTAAAGCATTATTTTTCTCTTTGAACAAGCAAACCCCCACCAACTTATTACACAAACAAACACACCACACCACTGTAGATGTTCTAAGAGAGAGAGTGTAATGAGTAATCAATATTAACAATATATTGAAAATGCCAATTTGTGAGTGAGTGGGGGACTAACCTCAAAATCTTTATATATTCCCTACCGAAAAATAGCTATGACAAATTAGTAATCTAAGGCATTCCTCTGGTGTCACTACTTCAATTATGCCAACACACCTTTGGGTAGAAGATTCAAAGACTGGGAAAGCGAAAGATTCTCGGACTCCGCAACGTACAGCATCGTGACGCTGTGGATACTCTGTGATAGAGTAAAATTCCACATTAGGAGTGGATTTGGGGAATTGATGCTTGAACACTCGGCCAGCAAGGTGTTGTTCACAAGTCTTCCCCCCATCGAAATCAATGTCAAATTTAGAATCCATACAAATCATCCTATACCCACAAAGTGCTTCAATACCAAGTCGATCACAAATTAATGTCATTAGAGAGAAAGGTTGGTTTCGAGTTGTAAGAAAAGACCGGCCCTCTTTTGTTGTTATTGGTGCCCAAAATTGAACTAGTATCGGAGAAGCAACCCAATAGACATAGCGTATAATTGTGTAAAGCAAATGTCTGATGATCTTGTTTAAGTTCAAAATATCTGATAAAAACAAACAAATTTCGGGAGAGGATTGATTTCAAAACAAGGTAACATTTATTGATTTAAATTGACTTGAAATGACTAAACTATGAAATAAATAAATATTCAAATCTAAAAATAATAATCATAATAAAGAAAGAAAGAGAGAAATGAGTAACTCACCGCTGTCGAGGAGAGTAGAAAGACTTTGGGGCTCATCGTCTTTTCGACTCCAGAAAACAAATCCATCAAATATTTTGAGGGCGACCAGTTGAGTTTCTTGTACCCATATTCCTTGAAATTGTCAGGTAAAGGCGAGAAAAAACCCTATTCTGTGTTGGCCATTTTTCAGAGAAATCAATCGGGGACCTTCCAGTCCCAACTATGGTGTTCAAATACAATTTTTTCAAACAACTATGGTTCAAATTGGGTACAAAAAGGGTCAAACTTCAAAATGGTTGCAAACAAACAAATTTCAGGAGAGGATTGATTTCAAAACAAGGTAACATTTATTGATTTAAATTGACTTGAAATGACTAAACTATGAAATAAATAAATATTCAAATCTAAAAATAATAATCATAATAAAGAAAGAAATAGAGAAATGAGTAACTCACCGCTGTCGAGGAGAGTAGAAAGACTTTGGGGCTCATCGTCTTTTCGACTCCAGAAAACAAATCCATCAAATATTTTGAGGGCGACCGGTTGAGTTTCTTGTACCCATATTGCTTGAAATTGTCAGGTAAAGGCAAGAAAAAACCCTATTCTGTGTTGGCCATTTTTCAAAGAAATCAATTGGGGACCTTCCAGTCCCAACTATGGTGTTCAAATACAATTTTTTCAAACAACTATGGTTCAAATTTGGTACAAAAAGGGTCAGACTTCAAAATGGTTGCGTTCAATGGGTTTTTTTCCATTGAGGAGCTCCAAAGGCTCATTCACTCTCTACAAATAAATAAATAACAAGTCGAGTCAATATTTTCTTAAGTCCCCCTAATCAGATTATTATTTTTTATTTATTTATTTTTTAAGATAGATAGAAGTCAAAATAAAAAAATTAGTAGTGCTCAGAGGATATTTCAATTCGTTAACACCGACTGAACGAATCGATCCGCCGCATTTTGAACGGATACGTGATGACAAGCGGACGGTTGCGGATTATTTTTTTCCAATCTGTCTAGTTTTGGACGAATAGCGGATTTGAGATTCTTTGGCCGCAATCAGATTTGTCATCTTGTCGGCTCCAGAAAACCACTCCATAGAAATATTTTGAAAAAAAAGAAGAAAAGCATAAGCGTTGGGGTTCCTTGGACATATATTCCTTGAAATCGTCAAGGAAATACGAGAAATATTTCTCTTATGTGTTGGCAATTTTTTTGAGAAATCAATTCGGACCTTCCATTCCCAACTATGGTGGTCAAATACAATTTTTTCAAACAACTATGGTTCAAATTGGGTACAAAAAGGGTCAAACTTCAAAATGGTTGCGTTCAAAGGTTTTTTTTTCCATCGAGGAGTTCCAAAGGCTCATTCACTCTTTACAAATAAATAAATAACAAGTTGAGTCAATATTTTCTTTCTCAAGTCCCCCTTGTCATATTATTATTATTATTATTATTATTTTAAGATAGATAAAAGTCGAAATAAAAAAAAATTAGGAGTGCTCAACGGATATTTCGATTCGTCAAAATTAACCGAACGAACCGATCCGCCATATTTTGGATGGATGCATGATGACTAGCGGGGACAACTATTTTGAACAGAGAATCCCATGCCCTCTTCTGCACATTCATCCCATATATTTATCTTCATAGGAAAGCTCATAGCATGGCAAATCTATGTTTTTTTTTAACTATTCACATTTCTGTAATGCAAAGGCTCTATCTGAAATATTTAGTTTGAGTTAGGTGAACCCCATTCAGCTTATTTATTTATTTATTTATAAAAAAAAATTTAATATTTTTACTTTTGTGTGTATTTTCCTTGATTTTTGGAGAAGGGGGTGTAGATGGGGCTTGTTGTAAAAATGATTGTGAACTTTGACTGTTACTCAAGTATTATCTTGATGTTTCAGCCAATATCTAATGCCTTCCACACATTAATTTGTGATAATCTATACGAGTAATTGGGATTGACAAATTTTACTGTTCTCTTAGTCCTTGATGTTATTTTTAACTAAGTTGATTGGTTTGCTTTCAAATGGGATAATCTATATGAGGAATTGGACTTGACAAAATTTATTGATCTTTTAGTCCTTGATGTTGTTTTTAACTAAGTGTGGATTGGTTTGCTTTCAATTGGGGTGATTTGATTGTTCTATTTTCCACATTGTAGAAACTTTAGAACTAGATGTCAAAATTTTGAGCCTTACTATCCTCTACCCTGGTCGACCTGATCTCGTTCTTGAGATTCCTGCCAATGCGGACCCCAAAGGCATGTG